AAATGTTTCTAAGCAATACAACCTCAACGACAAGTATGGATCACTCATATAACCCCTGCGTGCATTTTCTAATACACCTTTATTAAAAGCGTACACTCGTAAATGATTTTTTATGAATTCCACCCTATGACATAAGATATCGTACATATCATGTTGCACTACTTCCCTTGTAAAGTGGTACTTTTTCTGTACTTCAAGAGATGGAAAACCACTGTACCAACTTCCATCTAAGACCATGTTTCTTAAGGACAAGTTTAGATGCTCGATATTTTCATAAATCCACCTGTCTGTCGGTTGACTTGAAAACAAATAATCCATAAAATTATATGTTTCCAGATGGTTATCCATGTCAAGTTGTTTTTCTCACGATGTGAACAGTATATAGGCGAAAAATACCAACGTCAGATTTTTCACACTAAAATCGACACTAAAATCCCAGAACCTAGCTAAATTTGTACGCTCGCGCAAACATTAGCTCATTTTTGGGCGCGAATTCATCAACCGTACCCAGGCTTTCCTGGATTTGTAGAAAGAAAATCTGGGAACGAATCAAAATTTTCACCGTTTGAGCTTCCTGTGGCATCTCTACATCTTTCAACATTTATGGCTATTTATCTTTGGCTGCTGGACTTACCTATCTTGATTTTTTTATTGTAAGTATTAAATGGCAACAAATTCTTCAAAATATCAAAAATTCAAGGTCATTTTCGGGTAGATTTTGAATAAAGCACATAAATTTGCACAATTCATTGAGTGAGTACGATCGTTAAAATAAGCGATCTTCCCTTTGCTAAATTAAGCTAAAGAATAAAAGACAAGCCTCTGGATTTATTGCTATTAAAATTCAGATCATGCAGTTTATAACTTAAATAACTTTATTACACTGCATGAAAAAATGAATTTGCTAATTTTTGCTAGCCATAGCAAATGGGGTGCAAATATCATTCACGATATTTGCTTAACCTTTACTGCACACGACAAATGTTTAGCAAATATAAACTTTGAATATGAGTCAAACTTATTGCAAATGTTAAGTAAATACGACATTTGCGCGTATATTTGCGCTGCAGTAAATTTGTAAATTTGTTCCATTTTTGCATAAGATTCACATAAGGTAGTAAATGTGATAGAAAACTGCAAAGTGCAAATGGCCTCCAAATATTAAATTTGCACTGTGACACAAAGAGCTGTATCTCTGCGCTTTACTCCGTACGTAAAAAAATTACTATCCGGCCATTTGATTATCACCACATAGATTTTGTAGTCCAGAAATTACTAGATAATTATTAGATCAGTGAAATTTTTGCGAATGCTAYTTCTATCCGAAATCTAGAATTGTCACAAATTTTCACTGGTCACCTAAAAACGACAAATATTCGTTATTCCTAGCATTGCTAAGGAAATATGCCTTTTTAAACACGGCAAAGGTCGCGTTATCCACGAATAATTGCACAAAGTAAAATTGGABAATTATTTAAAATAATCCTATGGTTTTCCACATTGTTATCTTCAAGCAGGGATTATTCGAATTTCCTTCAACTTTTTCCTCTAAAAAATCCCTATTTTACTTTACCTTCGTTTTCCTTGAGTTATGATAGATTCGGATGGAAGTTCTGATTATATAGTGTTTCTAGATGTCAGGCCGCCGGTCGCGGTCTCAAAAAAAAAAACTCGCTGTCCGGCAGTCAAAAACTTTCTCCAAATTACGGCTAAATGAGTGTTTCTGTTGAAATCAAACTAGGCAAAGTTTGTTTAGAAGAAATACTGCTTCATTTAAGCTGGCCTACTTTGACTAAATCTCGTCTTTGCTCGGCATAGTATAAAAAACACTATTGATTTGCCGTGGCATATTTTCCGTCGAAACTTAACATATGATGGTCAGGCTCTTTGTCGCACAGAGTTTTCTTGAGACACCGACCGGCTGCCGGGCGTCGAGACAAGCGGTAAACTAGTGTGAGCTGCGTCGGTGTTTCTAAAGMAAATRTTGTGTAAAAAGATAAATTTAACACCGTAAAAAAATTGGTGAAACACTGACGTTTCGGGCGTTAATCCTTCGTCTGAGTAAAAAAAGGCACAGGAAGCCCAAAACTTCAGAAGACTACTCATTTTATTATTTCCATTCTTCACGTATTGCGCTTAAGGAGAAAAGTTGATCTCTAATATAATCTTAGTCTTTTTCTACAGTTCTGAAAAAAAANACAAGTTTCGGAAAATTCCGGAAATAACTGAAATACTTTCTTTTGTGACCAGATTGCCCTTTGGACTCTGTCGGCTTTCTTCTACGTGAATTTCACGTGATCGTCATGCTGCATTGATAATCTGACCAATCACAAAGCGATGAAGTGTATACGCGCTTTATTCAAGTTCGCCTCGAGTGCATTTCACGTCTACACTCAACCACGARCGYGAGCACTTCTATTAGCAGTTGTTTCACTACCAAAATGACTAGAAATCGAGTCGTAGGTCAACATACTTCCAGCAGAACTGTGTCTGCAGGAAAACAACCGCGAAATTTTGGTCAACTTCGGCCCCAGACGCATTGTCAGCGACGTTTGCCGATGCCGGTCACTCCAACTACTGAAGCTTCTAGTTTGCCAGRCACAGCTATAACACCTTTGCCAGTTACTCCAGGACCGAGTTCTTCGTCAAGTTCTTTATCAAGTCCTTCTACAAGTTCAACTCCGCTGATGGACGTRACGAACACGCATCCCGTAGCCAACAGTGTGGATCCTGTYGGTCCCGTGGATCTTCAAAGTTTTGTCGACGAGTCCAGGAAGGCTTTTCAGGAAATATTGGGATTACTTAGTGATAGAAGCCATCAGAAGACGGCAAAAACGAGGCGATTACCCAGAACTTTAACGGTATGTAAGACTGTGTATTGCATGTTTTTCGTGGAACAYCAAAAGACCATGTGCTTTTTGTTTACATTGCAACTTTTTCACACTCCATAAATTACACCGAAAACCCATCCACTCGACTTCAAAGTTTGATTGCAACAAGTTTCAACCGATCATTGACTATCAATATATCGGTATTAAGCTGTTTTTAGATCGTTGTTTAAAAGTTAGTTAAGTCACTCTTTGATTCCTTACTATATGTTTATGGAGTACCAGGCCTTCTAGAATCAGTGTCTTTTGTGAGCATGTAAGTGACTGCAACAGTTGTAAGAAGTGGCATGCAGTACTGTTGATATTTGAAATGCACTGAGATTGAAATATTAATTGTTATTTTTGGATGTTTAGAGTAATGTCAGAACCACCATGAAGAACCTTTATGGAAACGGGCTTCATGACTCGTGGAACCTAAATGAAAGGTAACTGAACTTGATTCATATTTAATACATTCAATATGAAATTGCTTGATGGCCAAACATACTACACATAATTAAGGGAAAAAAAATGATGCACTCATGCAGACTTGTAAAATGAATATTATGTCATTCAAAATTATAATTTCTTCATCTTTTCTGGCTTCCAGCTTCTGTAGCCCAACAAATGAGCAAGTTTATCTGCGAGTCACAGCAGCTGTTCAAAACATTGAGAAGATCCCCTCAAATGTAATCAGAGGTAACATTGAAATTGAATAATACAATTTGAAATTTTTATTAAAATAAACAAAAGGACTGKAAAAGAAATTTATTTCAAATGTCCATATTTTCTTTTTATTCAGATGCCTTAAGAGTATACTTCAAAACCAGAAGGAGACAAAATGCCATGACAGCAGGGAAGAAAGCCCAGTACTTAAAAGATCAACGATTAAGAACCAGAATAAACCTTGTAAGTAAAATCTAACTATACTAAATCATGCTGAACAAAGTAGTATATTATATATCTTGATGATTRTAGATGATAATACACATGTGGAAAATGAGTGCTATTTTCTAATAAAATTGTTTTTCTCTGAACAGAAAAGAACACAAAGGACCAAGTCATTGCAAGACTCGACTACACTCACAGAAGACCAAAAGGAAAAATTTAGTGAAGTCCTTACAAACGAATACATGTCATCTGAGGAATCAGATGATGCACCTGAAATTACAGACTCAGAGGAAGAASARGAGCAAGTTGGAAGTATTTTAAGTGTAAGAAAGTTGCCATGGCGAAGCAATGAAGTAAATGAACTCTTTACCAGACTGGACAAGAAAACCTCAAAGAAACGGTCCAGAAAGGGCAGAGGAATGGTTATCCACAGGGTCCAAAACCCAGTTGCCTCAAATAGGCYAGCCCCTGAAGATSCTCCATTATGGGCTTTGCAATAATTATGTCTTGACAATTTTAAACTATTCATCAATTYATTCACAGTTTTCATTGCTATTTTAAGTTTTAACCATACCTGCAGTGTGTGCAACTTGATAGTATTTGTGTACCCAGCAGATATTTTAGATCTTGTCAAGGTTCTGGTATTTCAATTCAGTTATCTTCRAATTTTTATATTTACATCMTTTTTGTGGAAAAACTATCTATTTGTTCCAGTTCTACAGATATTCAGTATTATATTATTTCAATATATTCTTTAAAAAATATCAGCRATTTTATTCCAGAATTTACAATAGGCCACTTTGATATACACCTACTTGCAGAAACGTTGTCATAGAAAATAGAGCATTCGAATTTAGTAAAAAGGAATAAATTAAAACAAAACAAAAGAAAGCGTTCAGCCTCAGTGATCTTCTTTTGTCTTTTTTAATTTATTCCTTTTTACAAATGTACAAATGTCCTATTTTTTATGACAACGTTTTCGCAAGTAGGTGTATATAAATATAGCGTACGAGGTGGTTCAGAATTATTGCAAATAGCTGTATACGTTAATATACTTTTATATGTATATATAAAACATTTTTTAGACATGCATGTATTTTGGTATGCATTTATAATTGTTCCAGTTATCAGACAAGTACAAATGATTCTATAAAACAATAATATATAAGATTATGAATGTAAAATAAATGAGTTTGGTACTTGACTTTGGCATATTTCATAAAGTGAATAAATGAAGAAAAGAATGGAAATGTGTAGCAAAATAATCAAAATGTAAGGATTTTCATATCTACAAAGTGTATGCAAAACCAGTGCAAAGATGATCATTTTTATTATTAATCCATTGGTAGAATGAGGAAATYTCAACTTTGCACTGCCTTTGCACACAWTTTGTGGCTATGAAAATATCATTTTTGCACTGCTTTGCATGCACATTGCACTTTTTCAAACAACCACGTTTATTGCATGTTTGCATTATGTAGCAAATGCGTAGCTATAATTCACTTTCCTTCAATTTACTGGCGAGCAAAGATATACAAAAACCATCTTTGCACCCATTTTGTGCCCATTACCATAAGTGCAAAGGTGACAATTTACACACATTTGCTTTGGCAGTAAAATGAGCATATAATAACTTTGCCGTTAGATTTGCATGGTGTCAAACAGAGAGCAAATATATGTGTTTGCTGTATATTTGATAACTTGGTAAATGCTTTAGCGAAAAAGGTCTTCACCATCTTTGCCCCATATRAAAAAGTGTGAAAATTTCCAGATTTGCACGGTGCAAAAATGATCAAACACGGACAAATTTGGTATTCACTTAGCATTTGCAAAGTGTTTTCTACTCTTGTAAATCCAATTTTTCATGCAGTG